TGTTTTTTTTAAGTGCCGAGTGGCATAAATTGGACCAAACAACAAAACTTCGGTATAAACTTTTATTAATAAATTTGAATTTAATTGGCTGTAATTTGACAGCCGAATAATCCAATTTGGACTAGTGCAAACCATAGAAGCCATTGGATTATGCTGAATATACTGACCTATAACTCTCGAAATATGGTTATTAATTTTATTTGGTCTTTCTGCACCTGGTTTTTGTTCCAAATTGCCTACCTTTGTCAACCTTTTAAGGTTATAGTATACTGTAAAGTGACTAATGCTAGTTCTCTGTTGAATTTCCCACACACTCCGTACACCATTATTCCATAAGTGTAAAATTTCCTCATGTTGTTGTTTCTTTGCTAATCATTGTATTCTAAGATCTATTTCTCCCGATAGGTTCTATATAATTGGTATTAAAATGCTACATACTTTTTTATACAGCACAAAGTTTGTTTATGCAAGTTGGGGTCTTATATGTAATTGTGGATTTGCCACAGTACATGATCAAAGTCATATGTGAGGTGTCCAAAAAATTATAATCACCACTGTATATATATAAAGTTTATTATAAAATCAATCAAAAAAGTAAAAAACATATATCAATTGGTAACTTTTTAAATATTCAACCAAATTTAATGAAACCTATACTATTTGAAAGCTCTCATTGCAAGGAATCGAATGGTGGTAAAATTGCATAATTCTAGTCACTGATTGTTAAGTTATAATTGTTTTAATAATTTTAAAAAATTATAACTCAACAACTAGTAATTAGAATTATGCAGTTTTATCACCATTCGATTCCTTGCAATGAGAGCTTTCAAATGATATAGGTTTCATTAAATTTGGTTAGGTATTTAAAAAGTTACCGATTGATATATGTTTTTTACTTTTTTGATTGATTTTACAATAAACTTTATATTTATGTATATGATATCAATTATTTGTCAAATTATATATACAAATTTGAATTGAATATTTTGTAATCCCTGGTTATCTTCTATTAATACTATTGAAAAAATAATAAGTTGAGTAGCAATTCAATTATTGTTAACTCTTATTTGTCATCAAATGATTTATAATGAAAGCAGATTTAAAATTAAGATTATAATGTGATTATTTATAATTGAAATATTGAAAATAAAGAAAAAAAAGTGAATATGGCTTTTTTGATTTTTGTAATAAATATTATTTGATTTAATAATTCCAATGTATTCATTTTAATAACCGGTAATAAAGATTATAAACCTGTAATAAATGAGATTTGGAAATACAAGTAAAAGATTAAAATCTGATTTTGATTATCATATATGAAATATTACTGTATTTAAATTATATAGGTTCTCTAAATAAATATTTTATTATATAGAAATATCAGGCAATCTTATAAGAAAATCTATTTTTTATTCTCTAGGTAATTTCTATCCATATTTTACATATATGTATAAATAAGATTTTATTGAAAAAAATTATACTTTTGAAATAACTGATAGTAAAATAATTGGAAAATAAGAAGATAATATATTGGCAAATATATATTTTTTATTCATATGATCTAATAATAGAAATTAGTTACAATTATTAAAACAGTATATAAATAATATTATTAAATTTAAGTTTCTAAAGATAATAAAAAAAAATATACTTAAATATTATGTTTTAACAAAAATCAATCAAAAATATTAAACTAATATATAAAAATTTATAGAATTAATTAAAATATTAACAATATTAAATTTGACTTTTTAAAAGATATACTGTATAAGTTATCTATTTATCAAAATATTCAATTTCTATTATTAGACTATATAATGATGACTAAACTTTATTATCAAAAATGTAATCTGAAAAAAAAATCACATTGTTAACAATTGTAGCCAATTCTTGTTATTAAGCTACAACAACCGTAATTAATTTTTATTATTAAGTCACAATAACCATAGTTAATTTTTGTTATCAAATTACATATTATAATTTAAGTCAATAAAAATAATATAATTATGTTATTTTTATTTCATATTATACTTAACAGTTTTATAATTTGTTTTTAATTTGAATTTGAATATTATTAATATTAGTATTGAAGCCAAAAGTATAAGATATGACATATTAGAAGTCACAAATAATAAAAAGAATATTTTGAAGTTATAAAAAGAATAATAACAAACTGTATGATAAGTAATTATAAATAGTTACTTTAGTAAGTTTATTATAGATAAATAGATTTAAAATTATATAGAGGTAACATCCAATATATAAAGTATAATTGCTTGGAATGTGTGTCCAGTCAGATTATAATAAATACAGATTGTACCAATTGTTTAAAATAATAATAATAATAAATAAATAAATAGTAATGTATTATATTATAGTTGGAAATAAAAAAAATTTTATTTTTAATAAATTCAAAAATTCAAAAGATTTTTCTAATCCTTAAAAATTATCAAAAAATTTTTTAAAAAAATTATTTTCAACATAAATTATATACTGTATACATTATATATACGTATATACATATATATTATGATTAATTTTGATATAGAAAATCTGTATAAAATTTTTAGTAGGAATTATACAATTATTTTTTCAAATAGTCAATCTAGTATTTCAAAATTTTTTGTTAAAAGTTTTTGATATAAACTTTTCATTGTGGTTTTTAATATGTAAACAATCATTATTAATATTTAAATAATATTTATTATATTACAGCTAATGTTATAATAATATTATATTTTTTGAAATAAAAGTCACTTTACACTTTAAACTCGAATCATAAAATTTTAAATAATCTCATTAAACTCATTCTCAGTTTCATTTGCAAGTGACAAATAGAGAGCATGCAATATTTACATTGTCCAACAAGGTTAAAAAACGGTTTATTTGGTAATCTCAAAAGGATTAAATAATATACAGAAGGAAATCTATACATAATTAAAGAATGCACCAAAGAGACAGATCATCTCGGTGAACAATAATTCTATTCTTTTAATATCGAATCAGCAGAACTAATGATTCCCGATTCAGAACCAACGTTTGCTAGACAACAATTTCCAATCACATCTTCATGTTCGAAACTATTCTCCACTCCGACTCTAATCTTGTATGAGTGATGCGTGCCACCCCAACCAAAATCTTCATTCTTGATACATTCCCAGGTACATCCTTGCACGGTGGTGGTCATGTACCTACCTATCTCTTCACCAAATCTATCCAAGATTGCGTAGCCCAACATCGCAAAATTCTCAAAGTTCTTTAATAGCTGTTGCTTTAAAGCACCATTAACACTAGGCATTATGTTAAAATCGGATATGCGTTCATTATGGTGAAACGTGAGATCGAATCTAATCAAGAACTGTCGTTTGAAGAAGAAATCTTTTTTAAATTGCGAAGATATCGTGAGTAGGGTGTCGGTGAGCACTTTTGTGAATGAATCAATCTCTGCAGCAATCATTTTGTGACGCAGTGAAAGTTGGTTTGGAGAAAGTGTGGCAGATGAGAATTGTGATGGTGGGTAAGTCGGAATTTTGAAATATTCCAATTCGTCCTCCAATTCCGACTCGGTTATTGGAATCAATCCAACGGCTTTAATTTTGCACAAAGGCGAGAGAGAATTTCACGAGCATTAGCGATAATGATGATATGAAGAAAACCGACGACAAAATAGTAAATGAATGGTAGATACTTTGGTCGATGGTAGGGACTTTACCGGTACGATAGAATTGCATGATATAATGAAACAAGTGACCGTCGCGATCGATGAAGAATTCATTTTCGTGGGCTGGGTCAAGGAAAGGATTTCGATTATCATCACACGAAAATATTGAACCAAGTAAGGTGTTTGGATATGAAGTTAATGTTGATCTATATGTTTCATACTACAATGCTTTCGATTATTATCTGAGAAACGCAAATTGAGATGATATGAAACACAGAAATCGAATCGAATACCTTTATGCCACCGACATTAATAACGATTTTATCTCTGGCAGCAAGGTCATTGGTGTTGATATTGCTTGTGGAGACATCATTCATGCTCTCGTTATTATTATTGTTAAGACTTGCGACAAGATTTACCGAGGAGCCAGTGGGGAGGTTGAAATTTGAGATAAAATTCTTTATCATGATTTATATTCTAAATTGTAATGACACAAACAATTAACTTCTCGGTGGTACTGTCTCCTTGGTTCTTTGGAGTGATCTCAAGTTCAATTAGATTATAAGCATATAGGTTCGGATCAACGATTCTTTAATGTTAATGGAACGTTGAAGCTTATTAACTGATGTCGGGATGTTGGAAGAAAATATTTGTGAAAGCGAGACAAGAAATTATTGTTTTTTTTTTTCTTGGGAATTTACCAAATGGTTGCGCGACTTAATATTCTCAGATAGATTCTTTGAAAAAAAAAAAAAAAGGTTTTCCTTGAAAAATATTTTTAAATTATGATGAATAAATGCTATTATTTAGAATAATGATATCCTGAATTGGGGAATTTGAATCATGCATCACACGCTTAGGTGTAGTCACGGTAGCATTTGCGCGAATGTATATATTGTCGTCTACGAGAATAATGAAAAAAGGGCTATCGCTATCTTATGTTCCAGCCGCATTCATCGCCATGTGACTGAATGAATGTGGTGCAACATGTAATCGGTGACATGATCGTTAAAATTTCCTAAAGATTTTTAGTATATTATTTAAAAAATTTATTATATGAAAACGGTTCTACGAATGCAAGAACTTTCCTTTGTGTTTTCAGGTCATCCTGTTTTTCGGCAGACAGCATTTAAAAAAAAAATAAAGTTCATTTATGGTAGCAAGAATCTCAAACGTAAACCCTACATAAGCAAACAAAGAATGATGTGATGATAAACTTTACATTGCATCGAATTTCTGGAACTAGAGACCTAAAAGCGTTGCATGTGTTACAAACATGCGATACTGTATAACCAATTACACTCATATATACGCGATTGAATTGAATCTTAAGACTCGTTTAATAAACAGATATAGATGATCTCATCAAATAAGCGTCCTATATATTATATTTATTGTATTGTATTGATGTGAACCCCTGAGGTGTACACAAATGTAGTCAGTCGGAGTTGAATGCTTTTAAGCCTGTGAGGCTGTAATCGCATCGAGAACCTAGCCTCGAAAATAATATTAAAAAAAAATGGATGGATGATATATTATGCATACAATATCAGTCAGTCGGTCATACAGTGGGTTTCTTTATTGCAGGTATCGCAGTGCCATGCAGAACGCGAATCTTCAATGAAAACCATGATTCATATTGACCATCGAATATCTGCGCGTCGGAACAAATCTTTTGACAAGATGCCGAAAAAAAAAAAGTACCAGAGATTCTTGTTGTCGAAACATTACCTTTCTTAAATTCATTTCATGTTTATGAAAAATGATAATATACATATTACATCTAGAATTTTGGAAGGATAGAAAAGCTTAACTGTGTTTTCCATTTTTTCGCGAATGTGCTTAAGTGAATATGAAATCAAAAAAAAATCATAACATAGTGTTTGTTGTTTCATGAAGAGGAGAAATGGGAATGAAAGGTGAATGCGAACTAGTTTGCGAAAATGCCTCTTTTGAAATCTTTTTCTTCCGCTACCAGAGAGATGGAAAAAAAAAGACAAGATGCAAAATTTTGTTCCATTATCAGAATGTCTTTGAATGTGAAAAAAATAAAAGAGAAAACTAATTACAAGAAATAAATAGAAATCTATCTATATATGGGCTATAAACAAAAGAAAAAAAATTTTACAAAAATTTGCCAATTATTAAACTAATTACATAAAAAGGGAAAAATGCCATCAGTAAATAAATCAATAAATAAATCCAAAGGTTCCTTTTGCAGTTCTCCATCCACCTTCGCTGATATTTACCCATTCACAACGAATGTCCTTTTTTTTTTTTTTAATAACACTTCAAAGAAGTGGCGTTCAAGCAACAATTACTAATTACATCTCCATATTCAAATCCATCACACAACGACATCTTCGCCCGGTACATTCCCTCTGGTCCATCGATGCCGTTACTGCAATGTTCCAACCACTGGAGATCCCAGTACAATCCCGAGTAGGTTGCCTCTAAATAATCACCGATTTTATCCCCGAAATAATTTAACAACACGTACGCCTTAGTGCCGGACGCGTACTCGTTAAATATCGGGGTGATAAGAGGCACCGGGGATTTCCCAATGGTGGTGGGCAACACGGTGATCAACAGAGGTATGCGACCTGACGCGTAAAACGAAATCTCCAGGGTGACATTGAATCCTAATCCACCCTTGGACATTATGAAGCATTTTTGGAAGTAGAGAATCACCGTATCCAGTGCATTTTTGAGGCAGAGCACAAATTTATCAAGCTCGGAGGAGATGATTCTGCTCCGTAATGACATCTTCTGGTTTCGCACGGTCTTGGAGGGTGATAAGGGTTTTTTTGGTCGGGGAATCATGAAGTAATCTAGCTCTTCGTTTAATTGTTTTTGTGTCAACGGCTTCGTACATTTTGCTAAGATAATTGACCAGGCCGTGGTTAGTAAAAATTGGATTAACCTTGATAATAAATTTAGTAGTAGAAATTCACCTTTTTCGATGCAAGGTATTTTGCCGGTACGATAAAATTGTAATATACAATAAAATAATCTTCCATTTCGATCAATGTAATATTCATTCCCGTTTACCGGATGCAATAAACCATTACTTCCATCTCCAAACATCGTACCCAACATTGTATCCGGATATGCCGTCAGTGTTGATCGGTATGTTTCATACTAGAGGAATCGATGGAATTGATAAATGACAAGCAAACAGGGAATTGCTCTAGATTATCGTTATAACTTCCTTCCTACCTTAATCCCGCCGACATTTAATACAACCCGCTCTTTCGACATTTTTTCCTTCGGAATACTTGCACAAAATTCGGAAAAATGGACAATCGCGATGTTCGTTTCTTATGTGATTTCCAGAGTGTCGTCCTCGAACTATATATTAGGACAGAACATACAGTATTATTTGTACTGTGGAAAATAAAGGAAAAAATTTTTTTTTAAAGAAAATTATCAAGTACGATAAGACACGATGCACATATATATATCCATGTCACGAACATGCAAAACCAGACTATACTCGATGATGTATTTGTGTTTTTTTGTGCTTGTACACTCGGCTATACGTTTTCTGATATGCATCGTATAAAAAGGCAAGTATCGATAATTTAATGTTACGTATGTATGTAGACGCATAAAAACTGGCGTTTGATTGATATTCCACATATTATGATTATGATTACGTCATTATTATTGGACCGTGTTTGGGTTAGTTGTTTTTTTTTTTTTGATTGATTGATGGCTTATGGCAAATTTCAATGCAACCAGATGAATAAATAGCATTCATTATTTACGGCATTTATTATTATTGTCCACCTATAAGCATTCCCTATATGTTTGAATGCATTATTCCCTGAAAATTCGGACGATATGAGCACACACGCACGCGATATAGGCACACCGGGATACGAGGATCGATACGTTACGATTTCACACGAAGGATCGATAGGGTGTTTCGTAAATCCTATCCACCAAAGGGATCTCTTGTCATTAGGAGACTGGAAGGGGTATATGTGACCAGTGTGTGTTTCATCTTTGTCGCCCGTTGTTTCGGCGAATGATATGATGGAAATATACAGTTAAAACATCACTTGGCAAAGTCTTGGCCGCGCATAATTGAAAATGAATGCTCAAATCGTTCTTTGTTGCTCTTGTGCAAACGAAAGCGATACAAAGAAAGTAAAGAAAGCCCGTGCGAACGCATTATTGATGCTACGGTAAAAAATTCTTTCGCCGCCCATTTGCATAGGAATTCTTTTTTTAAAAGAGAATTTTTAATTAATTCATGCAGTGACCTTTCTCCCTTACAACGATACACCACATCACGGGGTTGTCTTTGAAGAATGCTATTCTTTCTCGAAATAACGTTGCATCAATGTAATTTCTTTTTAAGTATCATTGTTTTTTCTCCGAACATAACCTTTGCGGCGCATTAAAGTTGACGCTGAGAGTTTTACAACAGTTTACGTGACGATATTTGGGCTTCCCTTGTAACCGCGGGCAATTTGGTAATGTATGATTACGCCGTATTGCCACAGCATAATCAACACATCAGAAATAATACATCCATTCGATAACCGTTCGCGTGACAATATTGCATGTCGAGTATGAATGGTGAGATAAAAAGAGAAAAATTTATCGTTAAATCTCAGCCAATATGCATGATTCGGATTCCTTTAAGATACACGCTTTTCGAACTCTCCTTTTTAAGATACTCGACGATCGTTTAACCTTGGTCAACCAGTCAAACATCTTAAAAATGTCTTGTTCTCCTTTTTCCCCTTCCTCCCCCTTGGTTCTACTTTAAAGAGGAAATTAATTGCAAAGAGGACGAGAGAAAATTTTTTTCGGTAAGAAAACTGCCGATACTACTTACACCAATAAACCGAATATATTTACTCATAAAATACATATACTGTATATACTGTATACTGTATGTACTGTATAATTTATTTATTTAATTCATTCATTCATTCATTTCAATAAAAAACCACTTTGCCAGCCAGCGATCATCTTTAAATCTATTATTACTAATAAAAACTTATTGCTTTTGGTAAGGCTTTAACGATCCCCGATAAAACCATCCAAACTCTTTCACACAGGGCTCGATAGGCGAGACGATGGATAAGCAAAGGGGGCGGTGTCAAGTTTATCGGGTGCTCGCAATCGGATATCACACAAGACTTGTTTGATATTCCGAGTTAAGCATCATCTTAATTTCAACAAAACGTTGCTTCGCTGTTTCTATAGTGTCAAATTAAGGTTAAAACGAGATATGCACATCATTCTTATCAATCTTTTAAAGAAAATCAAATTGTGTCACATATGTGCATGTATGTCTGTCATGTGAAAGACCCTTTACAATAACGTGTGCTTATTTAATATCAGCTTTAATCTTTTTTTAACTAACATCGATATGCACAGGCTTCTGGTATAAAAAAGGGTAATGGTCACATTGGTGGCATAAATTGATACAAAAGGTTATTATTAGCCAGTATTCGTCACGGGGACGGTATCCTAAAAGCGACTCATTAGGATACGCGAGAGTACTTGCGTACGTGCACACGTATTTACTTGCCGTAATTAGCGTCATTAAGAATGATGCACGGTTCTTCATACGGGTCAAATTAATGATCATAACTTATCTCAATTGGAGGTAACGCCAACCTTTTTTTTCATGCTAATATATTTTCATAAAATGTGTGCTGGGAAAATAAGATACGTTTCTCTATCTCATTCTCAGCTATCCGTCACGCTACCCTGATGAATTCCCGCGCTCTTCTGATCACAGATGAGACGCGATTGCTTGACAAGAATTTGTCTTGGGTTCAACGATATTCATTCAAATTTGGGACCGCGTTACTGCAAGTGTTCTGAAACCAAAGTATCGTTTCGTAACATTTGTCTTTTCCTTCTGCTTCAGTACAGAGAATCTCACTTCGGGACCTCACAATCGCTCAACTACTTTCCATCAAACTGCGGAAATCTTTATTTATTTGTTTATTGGATTTTATTTGTATATATTTATTTTTAGTGGCGATTGCCAACAAAATGGACCAGTTACATGTTCACGTGACTAAATAGGTTTGCACGTTATACTTTACACAAAACTAATTAAAGGCGCTTATATTGTATTAATAAAAGTCGGTATTCTCTTAAATTATCGATTCAATGAAAAAGGTCAAATATCAAATTGTTAATTGTTAACACAACTATCGATAAAAATCCACAAATCTAGTATCGTTTTCCTTGATTATTAGGACATCGGTTAGCAAAGTGTCCTTTCTCGCCGCACTATATAAGATTAATGGGATGATGTTATTATTAGGTATCAACTGTAATATGTCACATAATATCATAATTACCTTGAAGCACGTAACTTCTGCCAGTGAACGGAAATTACTGTGATAATTTCCTCCTGGACGTTGTTGTGGAGCCTAAGATACGAGTAAGGCTTTTATAATTAACGATATGTAAATCAAACATCATAAGAACCTATGTCAATCGAGATATGCTCTTGCCTCATCATTCTCTCCGTGATGTCTATGATGCGAATCATCATCTTGACCGTCATGATCTCGTTGTGCAGTTGGCAATTCATATTTTGGACTAGAAAAGCACGATAGTTGAGCAAACTTGAATTATCAAGATGATTCATTAATGCGTAAAGCAACTTACTGTCCGTTGGTACACTCCAATCCCTTGGGACAAAACCCGCTTAAATACAACTGGCAAACAACTTTTCTAACATGCTTGTGTCGACAATGAGGTCCTTAAAGATTGTCACAAAAAGATTAGCTTACTATAATAACACCGGGTAGCCATCTTCAACTCCCATATAATATCAGATCAAGGATGGAAACACATACCATGTTTACAAAACCCTCTCGCGTACCATGCGCATTCTTTGATTTTGCTTTCAGGATCAATATGCAGATACATACAGTCCTCGTTACTACATTCCCCGTACCTCGAGTAAAACCAACACTCGGGCATCTTTCTCATATTGAATTCATGTAAGAACTCACATTGATCACCTTTCTTACAAAGTCCCCGTAACCAATGTTTACAGACTACCGCCTTTTCCCTATAATTAGTGGTATGTTTGAATTCGCATTTTGCGCCCTTCGTACACGTTCCCTTTAAAAACTCTTGGCAAATCGTGTCTTTTTTTTTGTGAAAAAAAAAAAAAATTATATAGAGAGATGAAATTTTTGGTTAATTGGTCTATACATTTACTATGAATTTAAAGAATTCTTTAAATCGAGGTCGTATGTGTGTAAAGGATAGATAGATGATGATAATGGTTAGCAAGGAAATGAAATAATGTTGTTTCATCCTTTAGTTTGAGCAGTTATACCTGATTCGTTTGTAGCGCCCAGCCCTAGCTCGGTTTTAATATAATCTTCAAAATCAAAGGTGCAGGACTTGCTGTTGTTGAGGTGAAAAAAGTCTTGACCCGGTCCAGGCATGGTTTTTTTTTTGAAAAAAAATAAAATAAAATAAAAAATAAGAAAAGGAAAAGAAACTGCGCTTTAAAATTTACTATGAAACGGAGCTTTGTGAGTACAAAAACTTGGTTTGTTGAATGAACAGATTTAAATAATGGTCGCATGTTCGAAGGGTACTGTAAATCGGAATTTTCTAGAATGTTGACAAATACGCGTGGTCATATTTATCATATTAACAATTTTAATGACTAATAAACTTCTGCTCTATAGACTGTAAGTAAAAAAAAAAAAGCACACTTTTTGGCGGCATGTACTTATAAGCTAAAATCACATTAATATTCATATATTACTATGTGAATTATATATAATTTGCAAATAAAATCAGTTTTTTTTTATTTATTTATAAGTAATATTCCCAATAATTACAACAAGTTTATTGATTGGACTTTCCAAGATTGGACACATCCTTGCCCAGCCAATGGATGGCGGCTCGATGATGATCTTATAAAAGTTTCGCGACAGAAGACGCGCGGATGCATGAAATATTGAATTTTCAATTAATGACACTGCTTGGCAAGACCTTCAACATTTCTGGTAATCGTGGCACCAATATTTCGCGAACACGTCAGTTCGTACGGAATGTTAGCTTTGTCGAAGTCAGACCAAAGATAGTTTTGGTTTGTCCAAAGACTTCCATTGCTCGCACCTCGACCATTATGAAATCGTGTTATCTCCCGAGGACCCTTCCATCGATTATATCGCGGCACAAGTCAAAGTTTACCATAACAATGGATAACCTACCAACATACTCAAAGAAACCCTCGGAGTTTGATGCTATCAAAAAAGGACCTGAATGGGAAAGCACCATTGGTAAAATAGTTAGGGAATCACAAGCGAAATATCCTCATTGCGTCGTGCTCACACGTGTTGGGCAATTTTGGGAGGTAAACTAATTGTTTTCCTCTCGTAAGAGTTTTTTTTTTTTTTTTTTTTAATTCGAAATTTTTTGCACCTTAAAAGCTATACTTCGAGCAAGCAAGAGAAATCGCACCTCTGTTGGACATAAAACTTACCAAAAAGAAATTTGGTCAAGAATATTTTCCATTTGCAGGATTTCCTTTGCAACACTTGGACAGATATTTAACAAAATTAATAAATGAACATGGTCGAGCGGTGGCCATCTGTGATGAGTTTCCAAATACGGACATTGAAAAAAGAGTAAAATTCACGCGTCTAGTCACTCGTATTATCACACCCGGAACTTTGATTGATGAGAGCTTTCTGCCGCAAGATCAAAACAATTTCTTGCTTTCGGTGTCACTAGAAGAAGATTCAAATAGGACCGGATTAGCATGGGTTGACATAACCACCGGACAATTCTACATGCAAGAGTCTCTTCTGGAATCGCTCTCGAACGATCTATCGCGTATTAGGCCCAGCGAAGTTGTATTAAGCGATACCTTGAAGCTCTTGGAGGATCATCCTATTTGGCAGCATGTTGATCGTGGGATGAAAAGTGTTGCTTTCGAATCATGGCATTCATTCGACGCTACTCAACCTCAAGCGTGGATGTCCGATCATCAAGATGACGTGGAAATTCGGGAAGTTTTCACAGTTTCAGAGTTGAAAGCCAGCGCGGCATTACTAAACTATGTCGAAAGGAACTTAATCGGACGCGTCCCAAAGATGCAGTTTCCAATCAGGATGAATCCTAAGGACATAATGATTATCGATGGGGCAGCCTTGCGCTCATTGGAAATTACGACATCCATGCGAGATCTTACAAAGAAAGGAAGCTTAATGCATGCTATACAACGCACCAAGACAGCCTCGGGAACACGTGCATTGTATAACTGGTTGCGTTAGTATGCGGCATCATATTATTACTTGTTTTGTTAGATAACTAAGGATCTCTGATTTTACTAGGGTTTCCCAGCACATCGATTGACGTGATTAACAATCGGCTAGACCTTGTCGAGTATTTTCATGACAACACACATCTTACCAGCGACATCATTCAAATGTTAGGGGAATGCGATGATGCACAAAGAACCTCACAAAAAGTTACATTTAACCATTGTAGCCCCGATGATTTCTTGAAATTAAGGCGAACATTGGAAGTCATGCTAACCATTAAGAATAGATTGTTTGCGGAACTTTACGTTTCTCCCAGCGAAAGTGTGGGAGCACTTCTGGATCGTTTAAAACCTCAACAGGATCTGATAAGCATCATAACGGCAGCTGTTGACGAAGAAGCGCTAAATAGAGCAAAGGAGAAGCAGTCCATAGATGGAATTATGACGCCAGATGGTGCCATTGATTTAGAAGAAGAGGATTTATTAAATCTGACAAGATATGACGTTGAAAATGATAGTATGTTAGTGATCATTTTACCTGAATTTACCTCCAACACCACTGCTTGTTAAATAATTATTTGAATTATAGAAAAGAAGGTTAAGACTAGTAAGAGAAATGGGACGAACGCCAAAGATGTTGACGCGGAAATTCAATCATTGTTGAAAAATGATAATTGGGTGATACTTAAAGAGTAAGACAATGGCTTCGTTAAGGATGCGTTGTTAGATTGATATTAGGGATTAAAATTACCTGACTTTTTTAAAAAAAAAAAAACAAGTTTTTCACCGCAATTAAAGACCCTACACAAGGAGCTTGAAAGCGCATATCGTGAGATGATTAATCTCCAAATTAAATGGCAGACCAAATTAAGTAAATATATGATGGTTTTATTAGAATTCAAATTTCTTCATAAACATTTAATAATTCCTTGTTATCATAACATTTTCCAAAATTATCAGATGGACCACTGTTAGAACTTCGATCACATCCTAGTTATGGTTTTATTGTAATTGCCAAAAAAATCCGCGGTGTTGATGTTGAAGGTATCCTGAAAGCGGTGCAAATAAATCATTTTAAAAGTAAGAAAATATTTATTGTGAAGGTATGGGAAATCAAGAGTTACAACGTTTATCCACTTCATTTTTATTTTTTGACAAAGAACTAATTTCCATTTTTTTTTTGATGAAGAAATGGACAGAACTAGGCGGTCAGATAGAAGACATCAAAGTAAAGATACGCGAAGAAGAAAATAATGTATTTCAATTAATACGGGAAAAGGTGGTGTATCAAAAAGCTAATATTAAATGTGCATCTGTTTTTTTTTTTTTTTTTTTTTTAAATCAGTGATCCTCAATCGTCACGTTTATTTATCGCCTCACATTTTAATCTATTGAAGGTCGAAGACGAATGGCATGTGACAGTATGCAATTCCAAGGTAATGGATGAACTTGATATTGCCACTTCGCTTGCTGTGTTAGCACGAGAACAAAAAATGGTTCGACCAATCCTCAACAATAGGTATGTTACATGGAGTCTACCTTTGATATTACTAACATTAGGTCTTGTGTATACAGATTCGTGAACTTTAATTTTTGCGCGTGCATAGCTATTCTCACAAAATAGAAGGGGGTCGACATCCAATTGTGGAATCATCCCTTCAATTGAAGGGGCAGAAATTTGTCAAGAACAATTGTTATTGTGGAGAGAAAGAACGGCTCTTGTTGATTACAGGGTAAGTGATTTCTTTCAGGTTACAAGTTGTCAACCAATCGAAACTAAAATTGGTGTCCGTGTAGACCCAACATGGGTGGAAAGAGTACCTATCTTCGCCAAAATGCTATTATTTCTATTTTGGCACAAATCGGATCCTTCGTTCCAGCTGATTACGCTGAGATCGGTATAGTCGATCAGATCTTAAGTAGAGTGAGTAGAATCGACGAACACTGAGCTTCTCTTTATTTATTTCTTTTATCATGGTTTCCTTACCCATCTTCAACTCTAAGGTCGGAGCCTCCGATAATTTGTACAAAAATCAATCTACGTTTATGGTGGAAATGATCGAAACAGCACATATTTTAAAGAATGCGACGCAAAGATCGTTTGTAAGAAAGAAAACACTTGAATAATTGATATAAAACTAGTTTCACCGAATGTATCATTAAAAATTTCTTTTTTAAATATGAAATCAGGTTATCATGGATGAGATTGGTAGGGGAACAACGACACTGGATGGAATCGCGATTTCATTTGCCACATTGTTCCAACTGCATTACATGAATCGATGCAGAACTTTATTTGCAACACATTTTCACGAACTACCGAATTTGATCAAGGATTTTGAGCACGCATCTTGCTATTGCACTGATATTCAAGAAAACGAGGTAGAAAATCTTGACATTGGTTACAGCAAGGTTATTGCTTAACATGCTCACCTCGAGGCTCTATCGATTTTAGGACGGAAGTTTTTACTATCTTCACGAATTGAGGCGTGGTGTGAACTGTAACTCGGCAGCACTGAGAGCCGCACAACTTGCAGGTTCGTATCTTTGTTTTTCGAAACTGTTGCATATATCATCTTTGATTATTGTTGAAATCTGCGCCTTCCAATCTTCAGGAATGCCATCATCGGTACTGATAGTCGCTAGAAGTGCGTTGGAGTGTCTTAAGAAATACTCGAATCCAATTAATTTACATACCGATTTCCAAGAGGAAGTTGAAAATATTATGCATCGTGATTTCATCAAGTAATAGTGAAAATAAACAAAATGATTTTTTTCAGTTGATTTATTTCTCGTTTAAATGAGATTGAATTCGAATACATTCGTAATCAGTAAAAACTCGTGTGTCCACACATAATTAGGACTGTGTGATGATACACCGATAAAAATATCTAGTTTAGATCATGATCTACATCAATCAATTCATCTAAAAATATGCCAACCAGAGCAAAAGAGAGACGAACAGTGGAAGTTATTGCGAAAGGAATGGCTGGATGTTCTGTGCAAGTAAGTTTTTTTTTAAATTATCGACCACGGAAATATTCTAGTTTCTACCGAAAAATGAAAATTTGTCAGGCAACGACATACGCAAAATGCATAACGAATCACCTCGAGAACATAAACAAAGATTTATGCGCTAAAGAATTTGATGCCTTTAAAAAATGTTTGCAAAAGGCGGTAAGCTTTGGTCATGGACGGATGCACCATATTGCGACTCCCTGTTCTATTGTGTATGATTCTGGGCAAGTGATCGATACGATTTTTTTTTTTTTCTTTTATTTCCATTAGATTGGAAAATCTTGGTAGAAACGTAAATTCCATTGCATTGTAAATGTTGTCTCTGATGTATCCTGAAATTTTCCAAGATTTGAGGATACTTCCGATTGTCTCTAAGAAACCTAAGAAGCTTTTTAATTCTACTGATTGAGTTGATGAAAATACAGTATATAGGACGTCTTGGAAAACTTTTTATCTTTAACGCAAGTTTTCCGTAATTGGAAAGCCTGAAATTTGTGATACGTATTACAAGGTCTCAATGTTACGAATTTCTAATTTTTAATTCCTGGAGCACTTTTATGGATAATAAACAGAAGGTTCGAGGCGGAATTTGTCCGTCTAAGTAAATTGTGGTTACATACACAAATTGATTTCCAATCTAAAATATCATCTGATCAGAAGAGATTACGCATGTAATTATTATTATATAGTCATTCGCGTAATGTGAATTATATAGATTGACTGACACGCACGCGAATTGCACGACAATTTCTTTATCACGAATATCTAAGGCGCAGTAGTGCACTTTAGCTTAATTTAGATTTGCGCACGATTTAGGTAACCGAAATAACTTCTTCTCACAAACTCAAAGACAGAAAGGAAAAACAATATGGGGGATGCAGAAAATTCGGGGTCAAAAGATGCTGGAAATGCAGAAGATGTAGAAGGACGCATCATTCTAAATGTTGGAGGTGTCAAGGTATGCAATTTTTTCCTATCGTTACATCATAATTCCATTCGATCCACGACTAATCCGGGTTTAATTAAATTTACCCACAGTATGAAACTCGCAGGTCGACACTAACAGCCCATCCGTCCACATTGCTTGGCACCATGTTTCAACAACGTAATCAAACCATGCTGCATCCAACCAATGGTAACGAATATTTCATTGATCGAGATGGAAAATTGTTCCGTTACGTTTTACAATTCTATCGAACAAATAAAGTCATATTTCCAGAGCCAGGTCGGTTCCTTTTCATTAATGCATTCATTCATTCATTATTCCTTCCTTCCTTTCCTTCCTTAAGAAATGAATCAATGCAGGCGTGGATCACATAAACCGCGAAGAATTGGAGAAAGAATATGATTACTTTCAACTTCCACATGTTGTATCACCCACCTCGGTCGTCGAACCACCAAACAAATCCTCACCAATTCGAAAGTTGGTGTCAAGGAAGCTCGATGAGTTCGTTTCCGCCCTAAGAACGATAATATTGGAAGTGTCACGCTCAATGTTGGACGCGAGTTTGGATGATTTTAATGTCACCATAACGATCACTTTTTCAAAGGATGGTCTTGCGGGTGGCATGACTTCGTTAACGCTTAAACCGAAAAATGAAGGAGTGTCGAAATTAATCTGGAAAATAATGTACGACCATGCTCGCATCGGATATTTTATGCTACTAAGATTTGGCGAGGAGATTGGAAATTGTTTGTCAAACGAGATGCCAGAAATAAGTTGGGAATTGAATCATAAAATATATGGTCAATATGAAAGGTTCTATGATATCAAATTGACAATTGGATATAAATTTAATAGGGATGAAGTTTTAATCAATTCTTGCTTGGCCGATGTTTATTGATAGAACACAGTGAAATTTTTTAAGTACACTTTGGGATGATTGTAACGGATTTTAATTGATTTTCAATTGCATCAAAACTATGTCACGTTTCATTATATCGTGCTATAATTAAAATTTGATATTATCTTTTGGATGAAATGAAGAATTACATGATAATACAAAATTTGTCAAATATTTTGTTTCTCTCGAGTAACTTTTTTTTTTTTTGAAAATCAGGTGAACCCAAGAGAAGCAATACCATCAATTAACTGAATAATAGTACCCTTAATATTATCACATCTCGAGATTTGTGAATTCGTCATTAACGATTATTGACAAGGTATTTTTGAATCTTCTTTGGCAACAAAAACCACATTAAATGTTGAAAACAATAAGGCAATATCAACATTCATGACTATACAGATTCCAAGTAATGTGTACATGAATGTTACAAGCGCACGTCTCATAAACATTCGCACACTCTCTCAATCGTCCTCGTCATCATCACCTACAATAACATTCCTACTCCTCCTCGCTTTGGGCATTATAGGGACTTGTTCTTCTTCTTCTTCTTCCTCCTCTTCCTCCTCCTCCTCCTCCACCCCTTCCATTTCTTCAGGCTCACTTGCGACTTGATCAACATTTAACTCTTCATCTTCTTCCTCTTCTACGACCTCTTCCTCGTCATGATCATCCTTCACTCTTTTGGTAGGACGTTCTAGTCGCTCAGTGCGTCCAGCGCGTTCACGCCGTTCTTCGCGCCGTTCTTCGCGTCGTTCTTCGCGTCGTTCTTCACGTCCATGACGATCTCGGTGCTCGCGACGCGAATATGAAGGTTCACTTTTCATCTGATCATTATTTTCCTCATATAAATCCTCTTCGTTCTCTTCATCCTCTTCGGCACGTCGCTTTCTAGATCTCGCAGAAGAAACAATATTTGATGATGTTTCCCTACGACGACCATCACTTTCCCTTTCTTTTCCTTTACGTCGTCTATCCGACTTGTCAAATTCTTCGTCGTCATCTGTCTCATCTGCGACTACGAAACCGGAGTCATCCTCATACGTATCACCACGCGATTTGAAAGTAGAAGCTCTTTCTTCATTATCGGAATAGTCGTCCTCAATTTTTTTACGTCCTCGGGGTGCACGGGAAGTTGATGCGCGTTTAACATTTGATTTCTTTTCTCTTTCAGCCTAAGTTCCAGGTTAAATTGATTATTGCCAAGAATTTCAAAATGCTTGTGAATAATAAAAATAGTTGAATGTTTTACACATACCACTTGTTGCAGTTTAATTAAATTGGGATCCTGATTCATATCAACAAACTGAGTTTTAACCTGTTTAACATGCTTTGACTGAATGGCTGCAGCCAACATACGATGAGTTTTGCCGACCGTTGAAGGAAGAAATGTTATGGTATCCGTAAGCCTTTCTTTGTTTTCTATGGTGTTCGTTTCACGATGAGGAATCGATAGATATTGGTAGACATTATCCAAAGGCTGACGAGAACAATCAAAAATTTCTTCACCAATCATCAACGACATGGAACCATCTGACCATTTTATCAACCTAGAATTTGACTCCTTCTCATCTGTCTGAAATGCAAAAATGACGATCTGAGACGACGAGAATGACTGCAAGCGTAAATCGAAACGACATGCCGTGAAATTACTTCTTTGCCAGTAACCGGATCTATCTTGTAACGCCATCGCAGTGAATTTTCTGCACCCAATATTATGTCACTTTCTATTGCGCAATCATCATCCTTAGAGTAGGTCTCCGGGTTAAAAGCGACGTGCGAAAAAGAGAAAAAGGTCGGAACCTTTGCAACATAATACTAAGCAATTTTCCCAAGTGTCAGTTTTAGAAATCGTGTGAATAAAAAATGTATGCATATAGATATATGAATAGTATTTAAAATAGATCACCTTGTTGTCACAACTCTTTGGTGTTTTACGAAAGACATTTGAAATATACTCGGTTTCTACTGGCGGTCGAATATATCCACCTTCGTCATCCGAATGTATCGGTGAAGCTATTGGCGTAAAATCTTCTGTTCGTTCCTGTTCACTTTTCAAAGAAAAAAAGAGATCAAAAACACACAATTGTAATCAGCGAATGGACAGAATTGGGGATTACTCACCGTTTTTCAAAGGGTTCATCGTCACTCATGGCACCTCCGAATAAATCGTCGAGTTCATTATCAAAAGTTTTATTGTCTTTGGCACTGCCGTTCACAGATCTGGGACTTTTTGATGTATCGTTCTTGTCTTCTTCAAGATCTCTGTCGACCATAAGGTCAGCCGGAGGGGTTGGCGAGTGTATCCTTGAACTATTCGGCGACTCGTCATTCTCGACGCTAGGTTCCTTTAAAGGTTCTTCGTTGTAATTTTCCTCACGATCACTGTTCGGTTCTGAAAGTGATTCATGGTCTGAGGATATATTGGAAGAGACTTTTTTCGACCGTCTTGGTGTATTATCATATTCTGGTGAAGAGTCCGACATATTGGAATGAACATATCAGGGCTCACTTATTGGTTAACTTAAAAGCCAAGATGCAAATCACATATCACAAATCACATGATCTTACATTAGAACAAATTAAATAGTCTTTTTTTTTTTTATTCTATATTTTACTTGACGCTTAAATAGTAATGTTACGACTTATATACAAATAATATAATCATGATGACAAGAACCATTCTGAATTTCAAGTCCCAAGGTTTAAACGTGCGACCTGAAAATGAAGAAGTTGTCCCATTCTCGACTATTCGCGGTACATAAGGGTTTAGGTTATCGGATGTCTTGTATCTGGAATTATAAAAAAAAAAAAAATCATTAAAAAGAAGATAGAATGGAATCATGTTGAAAAAAGAGAGCATACCCAAGGGTCTCCATGACCTGTTTTAATTTTGGTCCTATTGGCCCTAAAGTATAGTTTCCTCCGATACTGATGATCTGGGCTAAGGTCTTCCCATTTGTTGCAAATGCTTTCATAAGAAAATCGGATGTGTTGGTGTAGGTCACACCGTCTACATGACTAATACTTGATCCAACTCTATAAGGGTAAAATGATGTTTCTAATATTACAGCTTGGCTAATGTTTGAGGTATTTTGTGGTAAAAATCCTAATGTCTTTGCCGTTGTGGCTCTCTGGTACATGTCCCGGGCAATCCGATATTGTGGCGAATGGGGAAAATCATCATAAAAGTCCGACAGTGTTTTCGATCCACCAATAAAGAATTCATTGATCTTATTGGTGATAGTACTCGTTTTCGTTCCGTTCGACAGTAAAATCATATATTTGTCAAATGCCAATTCATAGAATTTAATTTTATCATTATTACCCGGGTCTTTTGTATACAATCCATATCCTCCGCCATTTATGGGATCTATAGCAGGTAATGGTGTGAGGATCCTATAGTCATAATATGTATCCCATGCAGAACTGAAACCTAGACCGTGATGTATTTCGTGAAGCATCAAATATAAGAAATCATACTGGTCGGATCTCATCGGTGGATCTCCTTGAAACCAAAAAGATTTGTCAGAGTTAAAACTAACGAAAATGTCAAATTGATCATATGTCAAGTGTTTGTTTAGTTGAAATTGCTTCACGAGAGCTTGCGGATAAAGTCGTTGAGCACTATCATCGTCTTGCATTAATAACCATCTGGTAGGTGCGCCAAGACCTTGAAATAAATAAGTACGTAAGCGGTTGACCGAGAAGATATGTTAGTAAGAATAACGTACGTATGCACGTACCCAAGATTCCAGATTCTGGACATTTGGGATTGGATCCGCAGAAGGATACGAAACTCGCATTAAGAACAATTGGTACATCGAGTATCAAGTATGAAGAAATGATGGCGCTCGCATTTTGAAAGGAAATATTGACTTTCTTGCAAATTGTATCGCTAGCATCACACTTTAACTTAATATCAAACTTCGATGTTTGATTGGAGTCCAAATTAGATGTGCTTTTCGACTCGGTTACCAAATCGCAATCAACGGGATGCAGCTGTTTTGGGTTTCTTGGGTTTGGCGCAAAGCACTGTGCGAAGATTGTCGGCGTAAACATGAGGAGGATGGCGTGAGTTAAGGGCAGAAGCATAATGGTTGATGATTTTATTCTCATGATTAATCCTGCCGATTCCAAATAGCAAAATTTGCGGAAGAGTAAATTCAACTTCGCACATATCTCCACGTATTTCCCCGGTGCTTTAACTAGAACTCTTTGATGTTGTAGCACGACAAAAAGGCATTCACGTACGCACATATGTAACATTTTAAAAATTGTTGCCGCATTTAGTGAATCGATTTATAAACATGTCTATACATGTGTCACGCATTTATGCCCGTGCACATATATGCCACGTATTTACATACAGTATATCCGCGAATATATATGCCACGTATTTATACCCACGAATATACATGACACGCATTTATACCTTTGAATTACACTTGATACAAATGAAAAATCTCCATTTGGTATTATCAGGTTTCATACTATCAAAAGCTTGAACAATAAAACCAATAATTAATTTATCGAGACCATTCGAATTTTAAAATTAATTCTTATAACAAAATCATGAATTTTAATATACGAATATTTAATTAACTCATGATCCGAAAGAAATATTTTAGAATCTTAAATATTTTTTAATGTTTTTATATTTTTTATAATATTTCAATAACTAAATGATAAAATAAGATAAAAATTTATATTTATAGATTTGAAAATACGGTACAAAGAATAAGTTTATTTAAATCAATTTTTAAATTTTATTATTAATTTTCAATAAAAAATCATTTTGAATTCATTATAAAAAATCAAGAATAA